AGACAGATATAGCTGGGTATCATCAGCATAACAGTGGAAATTAATCCCATGCTGTCTAAAAATTCTACCGATTAGGATCATAGATATAAAGTAAAGAGAATTGGTCCTAGCACTGATCCAGTCAGACTGAAAGATTGTTGCTCCTCCTCCTCCTCACCCAGAAATTCTGGGTCTCTGAAAATTTAAATAACTAGAAGGAGTTGCCTCATTTATGCTCAAATAATCATAATAAAGTTTCTGTAAATAAACCACATTTAAAGATTTTAATTTTTTCCCCAACTGGAGTTTTATTTTAATTAGATTATCATGATTTACTCCGTTGGGAATCTTTTCTAATTGATCAGATCTTGGTCGTGGGGAAGACGCTGTCTGGATGGAGTAATGAGTGGGTAACAGTAGAGAAGCTGCAGAGAGGTCTGTTCAGGCTAATTTATGCTTCTGATGCATGGTCTAAGCAACCGTCCAATCTGTCTCTGTGTGCGACCACGCCCCCTGCACAGAGGTTCTGCACCCGTCGTCACACACCGCAAAAAAATCCTGACTACATGTCAGATGGTCGCAAACTCGCACAGACCTCAAGTGGGTAGACATAAAGCAGCTGTAATTGGTCCTCGGTATATCTTTCCGGCTGTCTGTGTGGCATCCTTCTCGACTTGGTGCCATTTTTAAAAACCCAGGAGTAATAACAACAAAGGACAACTACGATGAAAGGTTGATCGAGGAAGTTCAGAGGTACAACCAGTTGTACGATCTCTCAGATATGTTGTTATGGAGAATAAACACTCCTGCCGGCGCCGCCGAAGAAGCTCCCCCTAGTGCTTTGGCAGGAAACTGCTGTGCGTGCCTAGAAATTCCAGACTGACCTTGCAGAAGCATACCAGCAAAACTGGTTCGCGACCAGACGCAAGCGACATTTGATTGGTGTGGTTGCAGAAGTCTAATCCGCCCTTTAAACTAGGACTCTGCTTCCTGGTCTGCACCCTGGGGGGTCAGGGTTTTGGAGGACTAATAAATGTGGCCAGATTCCTAGAAAGAAGAGCTGCACCATCCAAAGTGGGATGGATGCCGTCTCTCCGAATCAGACCAGGCTTTCCCCAAAAGGATTGCCAATTATTAATGTAGCCCACATTGTTTTCAGGACACCACCTAGACAACCAGCGGTTGAATGACGACATGCGGCTAAACATGTCATCACTGGTCAGATCAGGGAGGGGACCAGAGAAAATTACCAAGTCCCACATTGTTTTGGCAAACTTACACACCGAAGCAACACTAATTTTAGTGACCTCCGATCGGCGTAACCGGGTGTCATTACCACCAGCGTGAATAACAATCTTACTGTATTTAACCTTATCCTTAGCCAGTAGTTTCAGGGAGGATTTGATGTCGCCCGTTCTGGCCCCCGGCAAACATGTGACTATGGTCCCTGGTGTCTCTAATGCCACGTTTCTGACTATGGAGCTGCCAATCACCAGAGTGGGCTTCTCAGTGGGTGTGTCACTGAGTGGGGAAAACCGGTTAGAAACGTGAACGGGTTGGTGGTGACCAGTGGGCAGAGATCCACGACTACGCTTTCTGCGTACAAGTTCAACTAAAGTTTTTCTAAGTAAAGGAGGCTGCGGCCTTCCCTCCTCGCTGAGGCCGTTTGCCTGCTCTCTGATAGCAGTAATGGAGGCTCCTCCTTCAGCCGCTTTCATTGGAAGATCATAGATTTAGATCTGATGAATGATTATCAGGGATGTTCTGATCCAATGGTGAAACCGTGGCTCTCAGCACTGTTAAAGCGGGCCGCCTGATAGAAGCTTTCTGTGACGCTCCTCCTTCTCCTCAGTCTCTTGATGTCATGGCCGTGGGGTGCGTGCTCGTCCTGGCCCTGCTGCTCCTGCCCCCCCCATCTGCTCTGTCTCCTCCCTGTCCCGCCGGCTGCCGTTGCTACAGCCTTGCCGTGGAGTGCGGCTCCACCGACCTGAGGAACATCCCCAGACTCATCCCTCCATCCACCCAGGTAGCCTCCCGCCATGCCTGTTTCCTCTGAGTTGCAAACATTGTCCGGTTTTATGGACTGTTTCTCTTTCTGCACACAGACCATCTTCCTCCAGGACAACGTGATCAGTCAGATTCGTCGAGTGGACCTCAGCCTGCTGAAGCAGCTCCAGTATCTCTACCTGCAGGTAACTGGTTCCTACATTCAGTTTCATCTCTGATTATCCGCCAAACGTCTCCTCCTCCTGCTGCTATTTTCACTAATTGTTTCCACTAGTGATAGCAGTTGGTGCACCATCATACCTGCCTGTTATGTTTCTCAGCATTGGGGGGGGAGCCATGAGGAGTGGTGGCCTAGTGGTTAGTTAGGGCATAGAGCTTGGAATCCTATGGTTCTGAGTTTGAACCCCACAGACTGCCACTCTGGGTCCCTGAGGAAGACCGTTAACCCCACACAGGCAGCCCTCAGAATCATAGACAGGTTTCAGATATTACAGGCTAACAATGGAACCAAACGACCCATTCATCCGTTTCTATTTGCATGTTTCAAAGCGATTCAAGGCCTTGTCTATGAAGACTGAAACTCACTGAGGATCCAGACATTAGAACTGAGAAAGCTTCCTGGAGAGGTGGAGAAACATCTTCAAACCTTGGAAACCAAGTCCAGTGGATATTTTTTTGAATTTTTACGGAATCTGGGGAGTAATAGAACGACTCCTTGTTTCATTGTTGGCTTTAAAGGATCATTTTAAATATTTTATGGCTTTGAATAATAAATCTTTGAAATCTTCCCAGAAAAACGTCAAACCGTTGGATAGAAACTCATCTTCCAGTTTATGGACCAACGGGTGGAGTCAGAAGCAACCAACCCGGTCACCCGCTGGTCCTTTCCCTCCATTTTTTTTAACCCCTTCCTCCCTGACTGTCTGCTCTGCTTCTCTTCCAGAATAACAGCATCTCCGGCGTGGAGCCCGGGTCCTTCCAGAACCAGAACCAGCTGCTGGAGCTGGCCCTGAATGGGAACCGGATCCACCTGCTGACACCCAGCATGCTCCAGGGTCTGGACCAGCTGCGCATACTCTACCTGGCAGGAAATGACATCACACGCCTGCTGGACTTCACCTTCCAGGGGTTACAAGTAAAGTCCATCAGAACAGGCTTCACTCAGAGCGCCTCGCCGCTGCCGCCGGTTGCTTTATAATCTCATTGTTTATCAGACCCTGAAGGAACAGATTGCAGCAGGAAACCGTCTCCTCCAGGGAGCAGGCTGCGTGTTTTAGTCCCTTTCATTTTGTCTGTGATTCATTCCTCCTGCCGCACAGAGTAGAAAAAGCCTAGATCTTGGCTGGATTGCAGGAGCTTTAGCTTTAGCCGGCCTGCAGCACATCCAGCGGAGCCCAGGTACCAAACTGCAGACGTCTGCAGACCACCTACCAGCTCAGCTTCCAGCAGTTCTGGCTGCATAGTGAGGAAGCTCCGCCCCTAGAACCCGTAAAACCTGCACCATTGGGCTGCCCCTCCCACCTGTCCTGCCCTCTGAAAGCGTATCCCTGCCTTTGTTCCATCTCAGCCGATTACTCTCATGCACTTTATTTAGTGGTGAGCCGGTCTTCCCTCGCACGTCTCCAGTTGGTGCCAAATGCAGCTGCAGGCCTTTTAACTGGAGCTCACCAGGTGGAGCAGATGACTCCCATCCTGGCTGCCCTCCATTGGCTGCCTGCTCATTTTAGACTTCATTTGAAGATTCTTTTAGGTGTTTTTAAAAGGCTTTTGACTTTCCTGATATGTAGACCTCCTCTTGTTCATACTCAGTCTGCTTTGGTCTGCAGCGTCTGCAGGAGCTCCACCTGCAGCACAACAGCATAGAAGTGGTATCAGACCAGGCTCTGGTCGGACTGACCTCTCTGGCTCTGCTTGACCTGAGCAGCAATAATCTCCACACCATCGGTCCCACATCTCTGCAGCCGCTGGTCAGCCTGCAGGTGCTGCGCATCACAGGTGAGATCCCACCTCATCGCTTACAGAGGAAGGTTCACCCATAGGTGGTCTTTTCCCAGACCTTCCCTCTGAGCTCAGGGTGGTGTTACTGTCTCTGTCTGAAACCAGTCTGGGTTCCTGGTCCTACTGGTGAATCCACTGGGTCGTCCTTACACCATCATCCAGAACCACATGCAGGAAGTTGGTGTGAGAACAGCTCAGATGTTCGTAGCTAACGGATCCAAACAGGTTCCTGTTCAACCATAGAGCTTCCGTCTAAAAGCTTCTGTGTTTCTAGGAAAACTGGCTGTTGCCGGTTTAGTTACTGAAACCATTTAAAACTGGTGAAAAAGTCTGTTTAGCTGATCAGTCGTTAGAAGGAACCATCGTCCTCTAATATGCCTCTAATATCTGAACCTGCTTAAAGAATAAAAGTTTCTGTCCTATTTTTCCGAAACGTTGAAACTCTGGGAAACAGTCTCTCACTTTTCATCCCAAAATGTTTCTTTTATTATCTGCTGTGTTTCATTAAGCTCATTTATTCCAGGAACTCGTTTTTTTTTACCCAGTTTAATTAGCAGCAGTTTCAGCTGCTTTCATTGTTAGGATCAGGAGTTTTTCCGGGTCATTCCATCTCTTCCTGAGATCAGATGTGTTTTGGTTTAACCTCAGTCTGCCATTAATCGTATTTCCTGTCCTGCAGATAACCCCTGGCGCTGTGACTGCGCGCTCCACTGGCTGAGAAGCTGGATGGACGAGGACGGTCAGCGCCTGCTCAGCTCCGCAGAGCGCCGCCTGCTCTGTCACGAGCCGCCGCGTCTTTCCCGACTCAGCCTGGTGGAGGTCCCGCCCAACAGCCTGGTGTGCATCCCTCCTGTAGTTCAGCTGGAACCCAGAAGGTTGGCCGTGCATCTGGGGGAGAGTCTCAGAGTGTCCTGCCACGCCTCCGGCTATCCGCGTCCACAGGTACGGCTGAAGGTCTGCAGACGTCCTGTTTACGCTTTGATCCGACATTTTAGTGAATAAAAACCTCGATTAGAAGGAAAGACGGCAGAAAATAAAGGAGGTTTTTAACTTCTATGGATGGCGCATCAGGAGGTAAATGTTCACTACTGATGGCGCATCAGGTGGTTCATGTTCACTACTGATGGCGCATCAGGTGGTTCATGTTCACTACTGATGGCGCATCAGGAGGTAAATGTTCACTACTGATGGCGCATCAGGTGGTTCATGTTCACTACTGATGGCGCATC